TTAAACACAATAGAGATGTACTCTCTCATAGTCTGGAGGCCAGAAGTCCCAATTCAAGGTGTCAGCCAGTCCGTGCTCCCTCTGAAGGCTCTAGGGGAGAATCCATCCTTGCCTTTTCCAGCTGCTCTGGGTTTTCTGGCCCGTCACTCCAACCTCTGCTTCTATTTTCACATGACCTTCTTCTCTGTGTCTTTGTCTTCTCTTCTCTCATAAAGACATTTGTCATTGGATTCAGGGCCCACCTGGGTAATCCAGGATGATCTCACTTTGAGACCCTTAGTTACATCTGTGAAGACCCGAAGACCCATTTTCCAGATAAGGTCCCACTCCCAGGGTGTGGTATGAGCACGTGGACGTGCCTTTTTTGGGGCCACCATTCATCCACCAAAGGTGTGTCCCAGATGCAGGCTTTTTGCTTGTGGGGAGTGGTGGGTGTGGAAGATCTCAGTGCTGTTCTCTCCCAGCTGGGAAGACGCAGGGTGGTGGGCAGTTGGCGGGAGGGAGACCTTGCCTCTCCTCAGGAGGAGAGCTCGGTGGCATATGGGAAAGATGTGGTCCAGCCATTCTGACTGCCCCTGAGCACCCGCCGCTCGGAAGTGGTGTCATGCTGGGCCCTCACCCAGGGCCTCATGTGTTCTACACTATATCTGTGCACAAGACGTACCTACCCCCATTTTACAGATGAGGAAGCCAAGGATCTGCTCAGGAGGGTGAAGTATCAGTGGCCTTTATAGCCGCAGGAAACACTGAGCACCTACTGTGTGCCAGGCATGGTGCTAAGCACTTGATTTCATTAGCGCATTGATGCTGTAATGGAGGTACTGCCATCATCTGTCTTTTACAGGGAGGAAACTGAGTCCCTGTTATGGATTGAATTGTGTCCCCAGAAAATATGTGTTGTAAATCTTAATCCCTATACATGTGGATAAAGGAGGCCTGGTGGCTCAAATGGTTACGTGCTTAACAGCTGTCTTGGTCATCTAGTGCTGCTTTAACAGAAATGCCACAAGTGGATGGCTTCAGTAAACAGACTGTCTCACAGCCTAGTAGGCTAGAAGTCCAAATTCAGGGCATCAGCTCCAGGGGAAGGCTTTCTCTCTCTGGCGGCTCTGGAGGAAAGTCCTTGTCATCAATCTTCCCCTGGACTGGGAGCTTCTCTGCGCAGGAACTTCAGGTCTAAAGGATATGCTCTGCTCTCGGCGCTGCTTTCTTGGTTGTGTGAGGTCCCCAAATCTCTGTTTGCTTCCCTTTCTTTTTATCTCTCAAGATAAAAGGTGAAACTCCCTTTATGTTGGATCAGGGATGTTACCTTAGTAAGGGTGTTACAATCCCACCCTAATCTTCTTTAACATAATCTGATCTTGCCTCAGGCAGAGATTAGGATTTACAACACAGAGGAAAATACATCAGATGACAAAATGGTGGACAATCACATAATACTGGGAACGATGGCCTAACTAAGTTGACACATTTTGGGAGACACAATTCAATCCATGACAACAGCTGAAGGTTGGCAGTTCGAACCCGCCAGCCACTCTGCTGGAAAAGACCTGGCAATCTGCTCTTGTAAAGATTACAGCCAAGAAGACTCTGTGGGGCAGTGCTGCTCTGTCACATGGGGTTGCTATCAGTGGAAGGCACCTAATAACAACAGCATGCATGTAGATGTAATCCCATCTGAGCATAGGGTTTTCTTTGTTATATTAATGAGGTGTATCAGTGTAGAGTGTGTCTTAAGCCAATCACTTGTGACGGATAAAAGGAGCAGTTTAGTCATAGAAGCAAGCAGAATGGAGGAAGATAGATGTCATGCCATGTGAAGATCGCCAAGGAACAGACACTGAGAAGAGACAAGGCCCTTCCCTGCCAGAGCTGACAGGGAGAGCCTTCTCCTAGAGCCAGCACCCTGAATTCAGACTTCTAGCCTCCTGAACTGTGAGAAGATAGATTTCTGTTTGTTAAAGCCACTCCCTTGTGGTATTTCTTTTTTTTTTTTTTAATTGTTGTACTTCAAGTAAAAGTTTACAATTCAGGTTAGTCTCTCATACAAAAATTAATATATACATTGTCATGTGACCCTAATTGCTCTCCCCATACTGTGACAGCACACTCCTCCTTTCCACCCCTGATTTCCCATGTCCATTCAACCAGCTCCTGACCCTCTCTGCCTTCTCATCTCACCTCTGGACAGAAGCTGCCCATTTAGTCTTGTGTATCTACTTGAGCTAAGAAGCACACTCTTCACGAGGATCATTTTATGTCCCATAGTCCAGTCTAATCTTTGTCTGAAGAGTTGGCCTCGGGAATGGTTTTAGTTCTGGGTTGACAGAGAGTCCAGGGGCCACGCTTTCCGGGGTTCCACCAGTCTCAGTCAGACCATTAAGTCTGATCTTTTTACTAGAATTTGAGTTCTGTGCCTCACCTTTCTCCTGCTGCGTCAGGGACTCTCTGCTGTTTCCCTGTCAGGGCGGTCATTGGTGGTACCGCTTGTGGTATTTCTGTTATAGAAACACTAAGAAACTAAGACAGTCCCCAAGGGGTTAAGCAGCTTGCTTGAGCCCACAGAGCCAGGAAATGGCAGCACCAGATTTCACAGCCCACCTACCCCAACCCTCTTCTCTAGCCACTCAGTTATATTACAAGAGAAGCCACTCTTCAGGCTGTGTGGCTCCCCAGGGCACAGTAGTAGCAAACGTCAGAGGTGGGAGCAGACTGGGGCCTGGCCCGTGCCCTGCTGTCTCGTGACATTACTAGACTGCCTCCCAATGGAGCCAGAGGCCGGGCTTCCTTCCCTGCAAGCTGCTTTTAAAAACAGAGCAGGTGTATATACAGAGACTGTCTCTGGAGGGATTAACCAGAAAGCAGTATTTGCCTCTGGGGAGAGGAAGTGGGTGCTGGGGAGTAGACACGAGAGAAACTGACTCTTACTCTGTACCCTTTTTAACCTTTTAATTTTTGAGAGCTTTGGAGAATGCATACATATTTTCTGCTCTAAATGAAGTAAAATTATTTTATTAAAAAATTAAGAACTTTTAGGTGTGTACCTAAGAGAACTGAGAACATGTTTGCACAAAAACGTGTACATGAATGTTCACAGCAGCATTATTCATAGCGTGGAAACAACCCAAATGCCCATCAACTGATGAACAGATAAAGAAAATGTGGTATAGCCACACAGTGGACTATTACACGGCCATAAAAAGGAATGAAGTTCCGATACTTGCTATAATGCGGATAACCTCGAAAACATTATGCTGAGTGAAAGAAGCCAGACACAAAAGGCCACGCATTGTATGATTCCATTGATATGAAATGTACAGAACAGACAGATCCACAGAGACAGAAGCAGGTGAGAGGTTACCAGGCCCTCAGGGGAGAGGGAAGGGGGAGTGACTGCTAATGGAGATGGGGTTTCTTTTTGGAGTGATGAAAACTATCTCGATTAGGTAGTGGTGAAATACTAAAAACTACTGCATTATACACTTTAGAAGGGCAAGTTTTATGGCAAGTTAATTATATCTCTAGCCCTGGTGGTGCAACAGTTAAGTGCTTGGCTGCTAACTGAACAGTCGGTGGTTAGAACCCACCCAGCAGCTCTGAGAGAGAAAGACCTGGTGATCTGCTCCCGTAAAGATTACAGCCCAGAAAACACGAGGAGACACTTCTATTCCTTCACATGGGGTCACTGTGAGTCGGAATCAGATCGACAGTACCCGATGACCACAATTATATCTCAATAAAACCATCAGGAGTCTGCAGATGGGACCCACAGCTGTGTTGCCTCAGCCTGTCCTTGGCCCCTGGATACTGTGCTCGGGCACCACCTACCACTCCTGTGGTCCCTCTACCCATTCTTCAGCCACCTGCTTCTGGTCTCCATGTCAACGGGGATGGAAACGACAGTGTTTAACTTCAGTAGCTCTACCCACTCATTTGGAACTTATCCTTTCAACCAGGCCAGCTTGAGGCATGTGGACGTCTGGGCGAGCTAGTAGTTTGGAAGTCCATCAACATGGTATTCTTCAAGTGTTTGTTTGACATTTATTTAGTGAGGATGGGGAGAGACTGATATTGTATTAATAGAAATTATATAGAGAAACAGATCCACTTACTAATTCACTTCACCGACTGAGACAAAGTCAAGGATCCACAGAATTTTCAGAAGAGCAGTAGTGAATTCTCTGTTGTTCTTGTCTCCTAAGGTTTTTCTTCCCCCCGCCGCTGCAATTTCCCAAACCACTCAAGAGGCATATTGAAGATTTAGATTTCCAACTTAAAGGATAAAATATTTTCTCTTTGCTCCTGGTAAACAGCAGCACACCATGTATTTTTTGGTTTCTGAACTCCTGAGGGCTGTGACTACAATTGTTTGTGGAAAAAATGTGACGCCTCAGAGCAAGGCGTTGTGTTTTGTTTGGATGTTTAATTTCCCCTTAAGGGCAGTGTCTGTTTTGGAGGGAGTGGACTGACGAACATTTCACCAGTTCTGGGAGGGGCGATGGGAGGAAGCCCGTGTTAACTGGTACCGCAGCGCAGTTTCCTTCCCGTGGTGTTCCGCCACCCACTTAGAGGGCTGGTCCTCAGGTAGCTGCTGGCTCTGGACTTGCTCCTTAGCCTGGGCCTGCAGTGGCTTTTTTAAAACTCTGTCTTAGTCAGTGTGCTGGTTAAGATTGTGTGTCAGCTTAGCTGGGCCATGATTCTCCGTGTTTTAATGTAATCACTCCCATGATTGAATATACTGTGAGTAGCCCATCAGATGAAAGGGAGTCTCGTTGGGGGTGTGGCCCGCATCTGTATATAAGCAGACGTTCTGGCTTTTTGCTCTCTCTGGATCCTGTGGCTGCTTCCTGTCATCTCATCTCTCGTTCCTGGGACTTGAGCTGTCAGCTTATCTGCTGAACCTGGGATTCATTGATCTGCACATCCTGTGAGTGGGAGCCCTGCTCGCCGACCTTCTGATCTTGGGCTTGCCAGCTTCTGCAGCTGTGTGACTTGGGAGAGGCCTCTACCCTGATCTACGGACTTGGGACGTTCTAGCCTCTACAATCACGTGAGCTGTTTCCTTGTTATAATCTCTCCCTATATGTGTATTTATACACTTTACTGGTTTTGCTTCTCTAGAGAATCCAGCCTAAGACAGTCAGGGTTCTCTAGAGACACAGAACCAGTAAGAGATACGAGATATCCCTCTCTCCATTGTTGTTGTTGGGTGCCATCAAGTCGATGCTGACTCGTAGTGACCCCATGTGACAGAGTAGAACTGCCCCATAGGGTTTCCTAGGCTGTAATCATCATGGGAGCAGATCGCCAGGTCTTTCTCTCTTGGAGCTGCTGGTGAGTTCGAACTGCTGACCTTGCGGTTAGCAGCTAAGTGCTTAACCATTGCACTACCAGGGCTCCTTTCTGACTCTCTCTCTCTGTTGTTGTTGTTGTTAGGTGCCGTTGAGTTGGTTCTGACTCATAGTGACCCTATGTACAACAGAACAAAACACTGCTCAGTCCTGCGCCATCCTCACAATCGTTGTTATGCTTGAGCTCCTTGTTGCAGCCACTGTGTCAGTCCATCTCATTGAGGGTTTTCCTGTTTTTCACTGACCCTCTACTTTACAATATATATACATGTATATATATTGGGGGGAGGGGAGACTTATGGATTTTAAGGAATTGGCTCACATGGTTGTGGGGGGCTGGCAAGTTCAAAATCTGTAGGTCAGGTGACATGCTGGAGACACCTGCAGTCTTGTGTCTCCAGATCCCTAGGTCAGGCAATAGGAAGGGTGAAAGCCTTGTGTAAAGATGTCTCCTTATAGTCTGGAGCAGAGTCATCCCTCGGGAAAACTCCCTTTTTGCGTTTTAGGCCTTCAGCTGATTGGAAAAGCCCCACCCACATTATGGAGAGTGATCTTGTTTACTTAAGGCCAACTGACTTAATCACATGGAAGTACTTCATGGAGATGCTGGTGGTGCAAATGGTTAATGTGCTCGGCTATTAACTGAAAGATTGGAGGTATGATTTCACCCAGCGGTGCCTTGAAAGAAGGCCTGGTGATCTACTTCTGAAAAATCAGCCGTTGAAAACCCTAGGGAGCACCGTTCTACCCTGACACACATGGGGCCACCATGAGTCTGAGTTGACTGGAAGGAGCTGGTTTTGTAGTGTGTGTGAGTGTGTGTGTTTAACTACTTCATAGCAGCATCTGAACTAGTGTTTGACCAAACAAGTAGGCACCTTAGCGTAGCCCAGTTGACACATAAAATCGAACATCACAACCTCCATTTATTTATTTTTTTAACATCTGTACTGAGATATAATTTTACATACCATAGAATTCACTCATTGTGAGTGCACTATTCAATGATCTTTAGTAGGTTCATAAAGCTGTGCAGCCATCACCACAATCCAGTGCCATCTCCCGACCAAGTTCCCTGTGCCATTTGCTGTTCATACCTGCTCCCTCACCCCACCTCTGCCCTAGGCAGCCACCCATCCACTGCCTGTCTACACATACGTCCTTCTGGACATGCCCCATAAATGAAACCATACATGATGCAGCCCTGAGGCTGCCCATGTCACAGCACACACTGCAGTCCGTGCCACCCACTACCCAAGCGTATCCCACTGTGTAAAGGACGGTTTGTTTGTCCATTTACCACGGACACATGGCCCTGCTTTCCCTTTTTGAACTTTAAATGCTTTTTTGTCAGAAAGATCATATCTATGCAGTGGGCCACTCTTAGTGATGAGAATATACTTTGCCTCCTCGCCGCTGTGAGCCCTGCTGGTGCAGTGGTTAACCGCTTGCTGCTAGCCGAAAGGTAGGTGGTTCTAACCCACCCAGCAGCTCTGCAGGAGAAAGACCTGGTGATCTGCTCCCGTAAAGATTACAGCCTAGGAAACCCTATGGGGCAGTTCTACTCCGTCACATGGGGTCACTATGAGTTAGAGAAGCAACTAACAACACTGTAATCCTAGTTCTGCTAGTCGTGAGTCAGGTCGACCTCTCCCCATGGGAGCTGGGGTGGTTGGGGTCTGGCCCACAACGGGCTGAGGGTGTTGTTGTGATGACAGCTCTGGAACTGTCCCATTCAGGATGGAGAGATCCGCCAGGGCCTGGAGTTTGAGTGTGGAGGCGGGGAAACCGTCGTATCGGGTGGAGGGCAGGGGCGGGAGGCTGGGAGATCAGGTAGGAGGGCAGGCCCAGTCACGTCCAGGAGGGCCTGGGCTACGCGGGCATGGGACTCAAAACTCCATCTGCTTGGGAGTTGACAGTGTAGGTGGGTGTGTACATGTGCCCGTAGAGGACAGGGGGCAGGTGCAGGACAGAGTGAGCCTCATCCCTAAAGGCCGGCCCCAAGGAGTCTGCACAGCGCCCCCTGCCCCCCACCCTCCGAAGGCCTGCAAGGACCGGGAAAACCCACACTGCTCCTTCCAGCCGCACCTCCCACCGAAGCCATCGAGGGTCTCTTCTCACCTCCCAGTTAGGGCCTCTGCATCCTCAGAAGCCCACCAGCTCTGACTGTCGGCACCCTCGGGAGACTCTTTCCATCCCTCTGCCTGGTGACAGCTTTTGATTTTTGTCCTGAGCCACCACGAAGCTCTCCTCTTGTTTTACTCTCACCTCTGTTGAGACCGCTGGCCCTGCGGCCCGGCCTGTATCCTAGGAGCCCCCGCCCCCCACCCCCATGCCGAGCCACAGCCCCATGGTGGGGTGTCGGGCCTGGATGCTCCGGAAGGGAGCTCCTGCTTACTGAGCCTTTGGAAGTCCTCCCAGACAGCTGCCCACCCTGCCTGGGTGCAGGAGGCTGGTGAGGGCGGCAGGCAGATAGGAGTGGGGTTGAGCTGGAGTGTGTGTGCAGGTGTGGGCTGGGGAGGGAGTGCAGATCCCACGCCCCTGCAGAAGCCCTGGGCTGGGGTGGTGTTAGTGGTGAATTTTCCCTCATCTCATGGGCTGGTTGGACCCGGAACTCCTCAGAAATTGAGTTCTCCACCTTTGTCCTCTTGATTTGCGTACTCATCTCTGGCCTCTGGGTATTTGGCAGAGGCTGGGCCTCGAACCTCGCACTGCCCAGCTAGAGCGGCCCATGGAAAGCTGGCGGCCGTCCTCAGCACCACCTGACCTGCTGCGACCCTGCCCGGGCACTTGGCTTTGGCTGAGAATCCCAGGCTGCTCTCTCCCCTACTCGTCCTCCTGCTTTCTCTGATTTTCCATTCGCCCTCTGCAACCTCCAACCAAAAAGGGGTTAATGGGTGAAAATCCTCCAGTTTGGGACTGAGAGCTCAAGCTGGGCCTCAGAAATAAGAACTTCTCCTCCTGTGATCCTGGAAGCCAGCTGGGGTCCCTTGGCAGGGGAAGCCCTGGGCCCTGTGAAGTGCACCTCCCCGTGTCCAAGGTCAGGACTTGCTGCATAAGTATCCCGGCCAAGGTCCCTTATGAAGCAGAGGCAGTCAGGTGTCTCCTGTTGACCCTTCTGGTACATGTGGGTTTGCAGCCTCTGGCGTTGCTCAGGATGATACCCTGCTTTGTGGGTTTCCAGCCAGATCCGTGTGCGTGATGAGAGCTGGCTCGTCTCACTCCCCTCCCGTTGGGCTTCTCCCTGCAGGATGCTGGCACCTGCGTCCCAGTCCCCGACACCCTCCTGTGGGCCCAGCCATCCACCCCTCCTTCTCCTGTGGCAGCGGCATCCTTGGAGCCTCCTCAGGTAGATCCAGGTAAGGACCCGCCATCTGCACAACTGTACCCTGGCTGCCTGGGGCTGGGGGCTTTGAGGCCACACCCGCCTTAGGAGTTTTGGTGGTGGAATTTTGTTGCTGTTTCCTTCTTCCCTTAAAAATCTATGTCTGGTTAATGCGGGGTAGATCATACTGATCAATGAGGCTTCTTGCAAATGTTGACTCCTCTTCACTAAACAGGAAGGACTGATGCTCTGTCTCTGGTCTCGGTAGGTTCCACATATGATAGACACTCCTCAGGCCAGCTGTTAGTCTCTTGTATAGAGTACCTTGGGTGGCTTTTTGCTGTTTGCTTTGGGGCTCAACCCTTCCCAGTCCCAGTAACTAGACAGGAGTTCTGCCTTTGAGGGTGGCAGCTCCTTCCAGGGTCCATCTGGGGACCTCGGGCTCACTGGACACTGGCTGTGGTAGGGGACAGAGGCTGGGGTAGCCACCTCACCCTACTTCCCACAGCTGCAGTCAATAAGACAGAAAGCACCGTGCGTGTGCTTTCACGTGCACTCTCTCTCTTTAACCTGGTGCCACCAGGTTGTACGCCCACAGATGAGAAACTGAGGCTGGGGGCACGGTGTTGCCTGAGGTCGCATCGTGAGTCAGTGGTGGCATCTGAACAGGAAATAGAACCTCCTAGTGCTTAGGCCGATTCCTGGCCAAGGTACCTCACGTGCAGCCACCCCCTATCTGTCAGTGGAGGCTGGCATGTTGCTGGGATGCTGAACAGGTTTCAGCGGAACTTCCAGACTAAGACAGACTAGGGAGAAAGGCCGGCCGATCAGCTTCCAAAAATCAGCCAGTGAAAGCCCTATGAGTCACAACGGTCCAGTCCACACGCGATCATGGGAATGGCGCAGGACTGGGCAGCATTGTGTTCCATTGCGCGTGGGGTGGCCATGACTCGGCCGACTCGACAGAGGCTAACAACAGTAACAGAGTGCCTAGGCCAGTGCTCGCCGGCCTCCTCCCGCGCTCTCCGAGCAGGAGTCCTGTCCCTCCCAGCCTTCTCGTCCACTTCATTTCCTGTCCCTGGAGCCTCAGGCTCACGTCCTCTTTTTTTTACGTCGAGGCCTTTGGTGGGGAGAAGAGGTGGTGAAATGAATCTCCCTTTGCCCTTCCTAGCCTCTGTTGAGCCTGTCTCCCTATAGGAATCTGCTTCTTTGAGCTTTGGGGGAAGGATGCTGGATAGTCCATGTAGGGGAGCCAACATGGTGGAGTGAGAGGCTGGGAGAGGGAGGGGCGTTTGTGTCCGAGCTTGTGTCAGGGCTAAGCTGTGGATTTTAACTGTACCCCCTCTGCCAAGTCCCAGAACAGCCCTGTGTAATAGTTATCATGGGCTCCTTTTACAGGAGGGATGGGGACGCCGGGGCTCAGAGATGGCAAAGATCTTGCCCAAGGTCACACAGCTAAGTGGCAGAATTAGGACGGGGACCCGAATCTTTAGACTGGGAAGCAGGTGGCATGTTTTTCCAGTGCAGCTGTGCTGCCCCAGGGGGGAGCTCTGGTCGGCCTCCCTGCCCCAGGCCTCCTCTTCCTCATGAGAAACAGGGCACCGAGCGCCCAGGCGTCTGGGGTGGTGAACACTGCCCCCCTTGCTTCTGTTCCCAGGTTGGCACCGAGGCTTGTTTTCTTCTCTAATTGCTCATTCTTTTCAGTTGCAGTGAAAAGGCCTCCAAGTGCTAAGAAGCGAGAGTGCTATCTTTTGTTCTTTGTTGTTGTTTTTTAAGTCACTTTCCAAGGTGTCTCGGCTGCGAGGCTGGGGGTGGGGGTAGGACTGGCGCAGTAACACTGAGCCCTAACTCTCAGTTCCTCGCCGTCCTTTGGGTTCTACAGGGCCTTGCTGGCCGGGGCACCTGGCTCCAGCTCGGGGCAGGGGCCTTGTTGGCAGCTCTTCTGCCCCAAATGGGCACCACGGGGGCTCTGACACTGCCTGTCCTCGTCCCAAAGGACCCTGTATTCCAGAGGTGGCACAACAGTTAAGTGCTCAGCTGCTAACCAAAAGGTTAGCAGTTTGAACTCACTCAGTGACTCCACAACAGAGAGAAGTGGCAATCTGCTCCCGTAAAGATTACAGCCTAGGAAACCCTTTGGAGCAGTTCTACTCTGTCACATGGGGTCGCTATCAGTCGGAATCAACTCAGTGGTACTCAACAACAGAGATGCTGCCCTGGTAGCCCTTATCTGAAGGTCCTTGCCCATATCTGACATGCTTTCAGGAATTTCTGTTTGATTCACTTATTCAACAGATCTTTATGGAGTACTTAGTAGGTCCCAGGTACTATTCCAGGTGCCAGGGACACAGCCGTGAATAAAACAGACGGGAGCGCCTTCCTACATGGCGTTTATTCCCTGGTGTTGCCAGAACATTCCTCACATGCTGTCACCTATGTGCTTTGCTTGTACAGTTCCAGTGTCCTGAACTCCCCTCGAGCTGTCAGATTCCCGTTTCCCCTTCAAAGCCCGTTTTAGACACCTCTTTTTTCTCAAGCTCTTTATAACCCCTGCCCGTCCACATTAGTCTCTGGTTCATCTGTGTTGGAGTCCCTGGGTGGTGTAAATGGCTAATACACTGACTTCACACTGAAAAGTTCAAGTCCACCGGAGACACCTCAGTAGAAAGATCTGGAGATCTACTTCCAAAAAATCAGCCAATAGAAATCCTATGGAGACCAGACTTACTGGTCTGACAGAGACTGGAAGAACCCCTGAGACTATGGCCCCAGGACACCCTGCTAACTCAGAACTGAAGCCACTCCTGAAGTTCACCTTCCAGCCAAAGATTAGCCAGGCCTATAAAACAAACAATAACATACATGATGAACGTGCTTCTTAGTTCAATCAAGTATACGAGACCAAATGGGCAACACCTGCCCAAAAGCAGTGATGAGAAGGCAGGAAGGGACAGGAAACCTGGACAAATGGATGCAGAGAACCCAGGGTGGAAAGCGAAAGGGGGAGAGTGCTGACACGTTGCAGGGATTGTAACCAATGTCACAAAACAATCTGTGTATAACAATTTGAATGAGAAACTAATTTGTGCTGTAAACTTTCACCTAAAGCACAATAAAATTAAAAAAAAAAAAAAACCTACGGAGCCCTGGTGGCACAGTGGTTAAGCACTGGGCTGCTAACCATAAGGTCAGTGGTTCAAACCAACCAGCGGCTCTGTGGGACAAAGATGTGGCAGCCTGCTTCCATAAACATTACAGCTTTGGAAACCCTGTGGGGCAGTTCTACACTGTCCTGTAGGGTCACTATGAGTCAGAATCGACTCGGCAACAGTGGGTAGGTAGTAGGTGAAAATCTAATGGAGCATAGTACCGCACTGTTACATATGGGATCACCATGATTTGGAGTCGACTGGACGGCAACTGGTTTAGAGTTCCTGGGTGGTGCAAACAGTTAAGGCATTCGGCTTCTAACGGAAAGATTGGAGGCCTGAGTCCACCCAGAGGTGCCTCAGTACAAAGGCCTGGCGATCTGCTTCCGCAACAACTGGTTTTCTCTTTGTTGCCCAGCAAACTGCTTGTACTGCTGCTAGAACCCTTGGCACAAGTTGCCTGGGAGTTTTTGGGTATGTAGGTGTCTGTTTCTGCCATCATCCTGGGAACCCACTGATGTGAGCAACTTGCGTTTGCACTGCCACCCTTCTCCCCCAAATCCAGGAGTGCAGAGGTGGTACCCCCTGCCCCAGGTCATCCCCACTCCCTGGCTTTCCCAGACACCCACCCGGACCTGGAGAATGGCAGCCCCCGTGGGCACAGTCAGGCTGCCCCTGCCTGCCTCGGAGCTCCTCTTGGGTCTGTGGCTGCAGGGCCTGGAGACCCCTGTGCACGGGGGAGCAAAGGCACTGAGAGGACTGCAGGGCAGCCCCTCCTGAGGGCGGGCAGCCATCTGGGAATGCGAGATCTCTCCTCTTCTCCCTCCTCCCCCTCCTCCCCCTCCTCATCCCCTCCACACGGGGGCTGAGGAAGGAAAGGGCTCAAGGAACAAGGTTTATTTTTAGAGAAGCCCCTTGCTCCCTTCCCAAAGACGGGGGTGAGGCTGGAAGAGGCCCGTCTCCCCGCACTGCCGGCCCCTTTCTGTATCTGCTGACCCAGAGGCCAGGACAGCGGAAGAGTGGCTGTCTCTCACCAATGGGGTACCAGTTGGGGAGAGCAAAGTTGAAGACCATGGCCACTCTGAGTGAGCCACAGGGCTCACCGCATTTGCTGTTAGCGCCAGTGCCCCATCGGGTGGAGTTCAGCAGGGACTGTTCCTAGGCCCGAGGGTCCGGAGGCTCTGACAGTCACTTCCTTCGTGATTCTTCCCTCCCTGGATGTGGAGCCCCTCAGAGGGGCTGCAGCTTAAGTGGGTGGGCGGGTGCTTCCTGCCATTGTCTCTGTGACAGGCCTGGCCAAGGTCACATCTCCTAGGGAGGAAGAGAGAATGACAGCGGCAGGACCTCAGACCACAGCAGCAGCTGACACATACTTTCCACCCACCCTGTGCTGGCCTCTCTGCCTTCTCTCAAGAAGGAGAAGGGGCCTCTCTCCAGCACCCACAGAAGCTTCACCTGCTGGCCTTGGCTTTCTTCTGCCCTCCTCTCCAGCTCCACCCCCAGATGAAGGTTGGCCTTCCCGCTCCCTGGAGGTTTAGGTCTGTGATAACCGGAGTGTTTAATGCTGCCACTGGTGGGGAGGAGAGCGGACGGAGGGGCTGGAGCATGCAGCACGGACGGCGAAGGTGAGCTGGCCTCGTCTGTGGAGCAAAGACGCTGCCCCTCAGTGTCTTTGCTGTCCCCACAGTGCCTGGGGAGAGCTACGTATGACCGACTGTCACCTCATCCCCTCCTGCCTTCTCCCTCTTCCTTTTGTTTGTTGAGGTGATGTTTTGGCATGTGTATGTATGTACTCACACGTACACTCATGCACACGTGCACGCACTCGAATGTGCACACACACATTGCTCAGGACTTGGGGCGGGATGTGCAGAGGGCTGCAGCT